GCTTAGTACCGTTTTTTGTTTGCTTTTTTAATAAAGCTATCCGCTATTACCGTTTAAATAGTCATCAGCACCTTTCGTGTTTTTAATCGATAAAGGAGCAGCAATGTCTACCACTCTTTTGCTGCCCAACCGCTGCTCAAGAAAGACTGCTTAAATTTTCGCCCATTTATTGGTTTGCTATGAAATTTTTAAAAAAGTAATTTACGTTATTCATTTTCCACTCCCTTTTTTCAAGTAGTACCTTAATATATCGTTCGACAGTTTCGATTTTTCACTTTGCGATTTTTTCACAACTTTTACATGTCTGGCTGCTGCCCAGTTTTACAGCCACAGATTTCAGATTTGCCACTCAGATTTACCACTCTCCCGCTAATTATTAAACCTTTAATCTTAGTTTTTAAGTTTGAATATATTTTTTAGCTCTTCAATATAATTTTTCAAAGACTTTTCCTATGCAAAATTATTTTATGTGCATCGTTTGCAGTGAGCTGCAAAAATTTTTATCTGCTCTTTTCACCATTCTTGGGCGTCTAATGCGCAAGTCTTTTTCAATTATCGATTTTAGTTGTTTGCTGTCATTTCAACATTGCAGTTGTCAAATGTTGTTGAAACACCTGTCATTCGGTCACACAGTTGATTTTGGTCGTCTCTTTTGTGGTAGTTTTTGTTTACACCAACGTAAAATCGGTATGCATGTATGTATGTTTGTTGTTGTTTTTCTACACAGCATTCCTTATCAGTAGATTTGTTTACCACAACGTGCTGGGCGGTTTTTCGGCTTGATGTTGTTGGGGATTCGATTGGAGTTGTGCATTTTATTATTGCGAATGGTAGAGTGAATGTTCTGAAGAGCTCGTGAATGGTTTTATTATACTTAACTGCCTTCCTCGTATTGAAATTCAATTGGTGTTATTTCAAAATTTCTTTCGTATTCGCATTCGCATAATATTCGTATTCGCATTCGAGTCGTATTAATATTAATTTTCATATAAGTTAACTTACATTCACATGAGCAGAAGTGTGCATAGCATTATTTAAACTAGACAAAAATTTTATAAAAAAATCGATAAAGCAATGTTATGTCATTTTTAGAAGAATTCAACTCCTTAAAGTCATTGATTATACATATTTACTTACATACTTCTTAAATGTTTTCCAATATTACAGTTACGAGTTTTCTATAACACTTACGAATAAATTTCCTCCGATACACTCGGCGCAGGAGAACCGTCCGAACGCGACGACATCACGTCTGATACTGAAATTACTACAATCAATGCATTTCACCCATGAACCAACGACTACAGATCACCTAATCAGCCATCGTTGTATTTGTAATCGATTTTCAGAAAAAAGTTTTCGTAGCGTTTTTGACGTTTTTCGGTTTTGTTTACACCGTCTTCTACCCCTTCGGAGTGATTTTTTAGCGATTGAATGTGTTTTCTGCAGCGATTTTAATTATAAATTTTGGTTTATTACATATTTATGATATAAAATAATAAAGTGCTGTGTGATCGGAACAAGTTTGTGCGTATGTTTGGTTTGCCAAAAGGCGTAAATTTGCGTGAAAAGTGGGTGCACGTTTGTGGCCAGAACGTTGGCATTGAAAAATCGACCCGTGGTAATGATATGCGATTGTAAAACACTTTCAATCATGAAAACCATATTTTATGAACTTTTTTTGCTAATTGTCGTCAAGTTTCACTTTGTATATTTTATAATAAATACCAATTTAATCGCACTCAATCACCGCGCCTTTTTCGTTTTCTTTGTTTGTTTTCATTCTTAGGCAGATGTCAAAAACACTCAAATATACTTTTTTCTTGCTTCTTTGATTAGGTGATCTTGTATTTTTGGTTCATGCATTTCACCATACCACATACGACAAAATTCTACCAAGCGACAATAAAATTTTGTCGTATGTGTCAAGCAATTTTGCACATACGACAATATTTTAATTACAAGAAAAAATGGTGCATTTCTATGGGAGAATTGTCGTATGTGCAAAACCGTCTACACATACAACAAAAAACGAAAAAGTCGCTACTGACCCTGGATATACGTCAAAATACTACTGAATATCTTGGAGAATAAGCGAGATATCGACAAACTGATAGCACCAATCGAAAGATCTTATTTTAAAAAATATAACTGCATCTATAACTCAAAATCGTCAAAATCGCGCTTACGACAATATTTTACCCAGGCGACGATTCGTAGTTGTAGAAATTCGTATTGGTATTCGTATTCAAACTGTGATTGTACTGTATCGCAATCACATACGTATTCGGATTCATATTCGCCTTCAGATATGAACCAGCGATCCCCAGTTTTCCCGAAGATTCTCTTTCAGGGATAGGTATGTACCTATATAGAAAGTTTTTGCGTTGAACCCTAATCGATGTTCAAATTTCCTTCCAATTTGCCATTTACAGGTCTATTCTGCGCTGGTAATAAAAAGTTTGTATCCGGTAAATAAAGTTCCTGTCAATTTTTAAACCCTTTTCGCATTCTGTGTACTCTTGTAACCGGTAAATTTGGTTACCATCTCATCATGAACCAATTATTTAGAATAGATCTGACCGGTTGAGAAGCAGCCATTTGTAATAGCAATTGAGAAAAAAGTGTGTGACGTTCGTAATTTTGAAGTTTTCTATTTCTGTTTTGCTTCTTTCTTTATGTGTATTTTGTCGGTGATTTATTTCAGTGATTTTTAAGCGATTTTCAATACATTTTTTGTGCAATTGTAATTAAACACGTACAAAAATAATAAATTGGTTAGCACAGACATGTGCTACAACATTGCTTGCATTTTTTTCTTTATGCTTCGTCTTCATATTCTTTGTTTACTTTTCACAGAAAATAACATTTTTATTTTTTTTTTATTATACTTGCATTTATTTGTTGGATCTGCTTATTTTACATCTATTAAGCCTAACAACAAGTTTAAAAATCGTACGTCTAATTTTACAATAATGTAGCTCAAACCCTGGGGTTGAGCCCTGTTGGTTTAACGTCGCTCAATAAAAGGCTGGTAGATCTCTTCTTCGCAGGCGTGTTATATTTGTTGTGTTGCACAGGCCACTTGCCAGTGGATTTGGGTGGTTACGCAGTTTTATTTTGTATTTTTCTCTGCTGCTGTCGATTACAGATTTAACAAAATAACATGGCGCCGAAATTTCAAACGTGCTTCATCTTGGCAGATCTTGTGTAGTTGGATCATGCGATCTCATAAGCTGGTAATAAATGATTGCCCCGTAAAATATGCAATGCCAGGATTTGCACAATTCTTCATAGCTGAATTGCTGAATATTTTAACTGCATTTCCAACGTACCTAGAATCGCGGTGACAAGAACTGGTAACATTTTTTGGTAATACAATTTTCCGTTTACAAAATCTTCGGTAACGTGCAGAATAGACCTGTTAACCGCAACTTTGGTTACAGTGCCACAGAGAGTCATAATAAGATAAGCAAACTCATAAACGTTGCAGTTCCCTTCTACTTTACAATAGGCAAGAGAACAGGCAAGTGACCCCCAGGGTGGTCATGTCGAACAAGGAAAGGGAAATTTTTTCGTCTACAATCGGTGACCGCCAGCGTGGTCAATTGAATTTAACTTATTTTAATATGTCGTCTGGTATATTACCAAAGACATTTCTTCCACCTAGGTGTAGAATTTCATAAGATTGTCACTAGACCTGGACCTAAAGCCTTAGGCTCGGTCAGATCAGATCGCATCATCCTCGATCTAGAGGGAGGCAAATATTTCAAACAATGCAGAGACAAACAACTCCGCATCGAGGACTGCTTCCATATGATAAAGGTCATTGATCTGGCAGTACTTATCGCTTCAATAAATTCTCACTGCAGAGGAATACGCCCACTCAACAGAGCGAGAAACCTACAGTTACCCTCTACCAAGTCTATGGTCACACTCGTACTCAACATAGAGGTAAGCAGGCTCAGAATCTCGACCGTAGCTCACTCCAAAGTCTTAGTCATTATTTACGACCTTCCCATTCAGTTTTTGACACGCGCTACAACGATTAGCAAGAAGCTCGCGGCTTTACTTTTGTAAACGGCAAAGATACTTTATGCACGAGATATTTACAAAGCTATCTGCAGATCAGCAGCGAACTTCGACCGTCGCTATATGGACGGTAGGCACTAGAGATGCTCAGTAGGTCCACCTCGGAGCCTCTCAGTAGGCTTCGCTCCATTTCACTACTGAATGTGTCTTTATGTCGTTTTAGAACCGTCTTCACGCTGGGGCTTCTGTCTAAACAGTTCCTGATGTGTTGCCACCAACCAAAAGAGGCGAACTTTAATCTAATATGTAGAACACTCCAACTGAAAGGAGATACAACCGAGTATGTACAACTCCATTAAACCAGGAGGGAAATGTAAACGGATCAACCCATTTCCACACTTTGCGAAGCGATAACATCCACTCTCTCCACTCACTTCCTATCGCCACAGAAGAAAACGTGTAACCAAAGCAGACGACATAGAATCATCATCGCTCAACTGCGACTTGGTAGGTCTCGTACCCTCAGATTACTCATGCATACTTACCAGGCGGAAGTGGATCACATACCATCTTGTGACTCCTCGTAACATCACACCATAACTGCTCTTTGTACATCCGAATGAGTCTGAATACCTTCGGCACTCGGACTGGGGGACTCGTTTGGAGAACAAAGAGTGAGAGTAACCTGTTGTGAGTAGCTCATTGGACTTCTCATTTTTTGGCGTTCCAAATGCTTACCTTAAGGAGATTTGGGTACAATTTAGTAGAGGAGATGGAAATTTTGTGTGATGATTAATTAGTACTGAGAGTCTCCTTCTCGTAAATATTAGTTGCCTAGAAACTAGAGCTCTGCAGATACCCGAAATTCCCCTTCACTCCGATCATTTTTATGTATTTTGGAAAGAATTCAGTATTATATTAGTGGTTGTTAGAACCATTTTTTATTTATTAACTACGAGAGTATTTATAAATATTTATTTTTACATTTGTGTGAACAGATTTTGGATGAGATAATATTATTTAAAACACTAACATAAAAATAGGAAGAAAACCCTTAAACAATAAATAATTAAACACATAAAATTAAACTTGGCAATATCAAAAACAAAAAAACGCGAACTTTAATTTTAAACACGAAATAAAGATCTTAACAAATTATGACTAAAAAATATAATAAAACATTAAACTCAAAGAGGCATCTCGCCTTAGTTAGAACGCACCTGTATGCCGCTACGCTCAAAAGTATTCTCCAGCAGCGGAACTTGGGTATAAGTCTGTTGAAGAGCGTACTGCTCACTCTCTGTCTGTTGCCGATTGCTGCAACGCATGCAACTGCCGAGCAAATAAAACCAACGGCGAGAAATGGACTTGCGACGGCCACCAGCACTCCTTTTCGCGGCCAACTTGCGAGGGCCTTGCACCTCTGGCGTGTCAGAGATATCAACAGCAGTGCTATTGGGACAACGTTCCATATATAGGCCCATGGGCGAGGGTGTGCGTGGATCGCGATTGTATTTTAGTGGCCGAGTTTTCGGTGCAAAAGTTCCACGCCCATCTCGATCGGTGCTGTAACGCTTACGGCGTGCCGGTTTCGGCGACGATGACAAGTCGATCACTTCTACCTCAATGGCTGAATCTGAGCTGCTCGGTTGACTGGTGCGTGAGTTGTGTTGGGACGTGCCGCTGCCACTACCGCTTGCTTTGCTCGGTTCAGCCTGCTGCTGTCGGACCTTAAGGGAATTGCTGCGCCTGCGCAATGCGACTGAAAAGAGGGTGAAAATAATTCTTTGTAGAACTCAAGAAAAGTAAGTAAGTAAAAAAAATACCAACCACTCTCCTTCGCCGTTCGCCTTTCGGCACTCTCCTCCATGCAGCTGCTGAAATAAAGCGACATTGGTTGTATAGCCGCCACGTTCTTAGCATTTCGACCGCACACCTCCATTGTGCCATCTCCGCTGCATAAATTGTTATTCGCATCCGGCGTGTTGGGTGTCACAAAAACATGCAGCTCGTCATCGCCGTCTCCGTGGTCGTGCGGAAGCCCAAGATTTAGCGGTGAAGGTGATGGCGGTGGCGCTGGTGGTGGCGATCGGCTTCGCTCGCAATCTGTCTGTGTCGCCTTCGTACTCTTTGCCGCGCAGTATAGCAAGCTCTGCAACGGCTGTCGTCCCAACTGCCCATAGCCACCCAACGAACCTGAGAGTGAAGTGCCGTGCAATGTGTAACGACCACACTGAGTTTTCTTGAGCTGATCTTCGGCTGTGCTCAAGCGCACGCGCAAGAAGTCCACATTTTGTCTGAGGCGCGTAATTTCGCTCTGCTTTTCGTCCAGTTTCGATTGCTGGTAGTCATTGTAAGATTGTAAGCGATCGCGCTCATCCAACAGCAGCGCGTATGTGCTCCTATCAATGTAGACGTCTTCTTCGTCAGCCGCGCCACTACCACTGCCACTTTGTGTGGAAATGGTACCTGTAGTAATTGCTGTAACGTTGCTGGCAGACAATTCTGCGCTGGCATCGGGCTCCGCCTCCACTTCTTCCTCCACCTCCTGCTCCTCTTCGTCGACTGCATCGATTACGCCCACTAGCGCTTCATTCAACCTTGCCGCTGTTAAAGTCACACCGCGCTGCAACTGCATTGACGTCTTCCGCGGCAGCGGTTCGTGTACCAGCGCCTCGGGCATCGAACTGTGTCTTTGAAATTTCGCTAGCTTGCGGCGTCGTTCATCTTCGCTACGTATATTTGCAATATATTGTCCGACTTTGCTCTCGACGTGTTTGAAGCGACGCTTCGTAGCCTGCGAGTGAATGTCATGGTAAGAGTAAGACTTACGGTCATGCTCTGGCAGATGGCTCTGGTGCGCATCGCCTACACCACCACCAGTGGAAAGCCCAGTTTGATCGCTTTTAACCATGCGTTCGTCGCTTGCCAAGGTCGCCAAACCAGCAGGCTGAGTGCCCTGCTCTGAGGCTGATTCGGCTGAGGATATAGTCTGATCGGCCGATGAGCTGGAGACGCTGAGATTGTGTACAAGCGTTAGTGGGCTTTTGATGCTGTCACCACTGTGCCCTTGTTGTTGACGTTCTCGCAAGCGGTGTGGAAATTGAATTCGATGATGTGGTGGCGTTGGCGATAAGTCCACTTCGAAAAGTTCATCGTGGGGGAAACTTTCATCCTGTATACTCATTTTTTAATTAAGTCACACGTGTGGGCGGTACGGCTGCATAAACTTTACTTTTATATATAAAAAGAAAAAATCAAACGCGACTAAAACTGGTTACATTATTTACAACTCTTTACGACCATTATTTTATTTCTTTGCAAACGCGTACAAACAACTGAAATTAAATAATTTAATTTTTATTGAACAGATATAACTTTTTATATAAGCATAACTAAATAAAACGTGATTAACAAAAACAATAAACAAGTGTAGAAGAAAACAGTAATTTGTGAAGTGCTATCGCGCGCCTGACTGACTTTAGCTGTGTAGGCTTTAGGCTACTTCAGCGATGTAAAAAAATTAGTAAATAATATGAAAGGTAACGGCACCTGGGGACAATAACCACGGTTAGGTAAATATGTATTTTTATATATGACTACATTGGGGTGTGCCAATGAAAAAAACAAAAAAAGAATGGTAACAATATGGATGTTGTGTTTTTTCTTGGGAAACCCATTTCTGCAATCCCAAATAACGAAATAATGGCTTTCTCCATGAAAAGTCACGACTTCCATACAATATGTCCGAGAGTTACTAAAATTTTATGCTCCGCACTCGCTTCGAATGCCTCTAGACCTCTTCTTTAAAACAAAATTCTTTACGTGATTGTGCGGTTTCGTCTTCTCTTGGTAATAAAGTCTTACAGAGCAAAACTGGCAACTATTTTCCGAAAGACTAATTGAAAGATCTGCTAACGAGGTTTTAGAGTTATTCTGATTATCTTTTAGTAATAAGTTTTCTAAAAATTAAATAAAGTTAAAAAATTTGTTTCCTTCTAAAACAACCAAAACTAAAAACTAAAGTAATGTAAAAGAAAGAAAAAAATTAATAATTGAAAAAAAAAATTGGATTTAAAAAAATCAAATATTTAAGGAATGAAATTCTTTTCAAAACAATAAAATCTGATAAGAGAAAATTAAATAAAATAAATGAATTAAAAAAGAAAACAAGTTCCTACAAAACACATATGTATATACATACATAAATTAAATTAAAAAAATATTTTTATTTTTAATAAAAAATCTAAAAATTAAAGAAAATTAAATATAAAAAAAGTTAAGTGAAAGAAAAATTAAATTATGTTCCTAAAAATTCAATGAGATTGAAAAAGTATTTTTCTTTCTGAACAAAAAATTTCAATTGAAATAAAATAATAAATAAATATAATACCTTTCTAAAAATTTAATGAAAATAAAAAAAGTTACTTTTTAAAACAATAAAATCTAAAATTAGCAAAAAATTATATTAAGAAAATGAACAAAAATAAAAAAATATTTTCCTAAAAATTAAATTAAACTAAAAAGTATTTTTTTTCTGTTTAAAAAAATAGAATCTAAAAATAAAATAAAAAAAAAAATTGAATGAAATTTAAAATATATATATTTTTCTTTTTAGGACAATGAAATCTAATAATTAAAGGAAAATTAAATAAAAAAAAAAACAAAAAAAATCGCTCACCGAAGACTCTACCGTGCGTCTCTCGATTGGCACACTCGGCTATTGCGACTGTTGGACCGACGCAAGCAAAATTATATTCTGGCAAAAGAGCGAGTGGTGAATGAGAAAGCTAATTTAAGACTTTTTTCTGGAGCTGCAATGGCGGAGAGAGCTTTTACTCTGCACGCGCCTATGTAAAATGTATAGAACGCTTGAAAAGAGCTTTGTCCGCGGGCAAGACGCTGCCCACCACAGTTCTAGAGTAACGAAAATTTCTCGGTTTTTCATTTGTCTTACGAAAGCCTTTTTACTATCTTAGCCAGAATTGCCCTTTTATATACTCAGCAACTGAGGACATCTGCCCCTATTCACTATCGCGTCTCAGTATTGGCCTTTGAGCTACAGAGATGTGACGTCGAATCCGTTCAAAATAGGAGAGCTTACGATACCCAATTCAGTCAGCTAAACGTAGTAGGGCGAACACCAGTAGGACACAAAGCACATCCTAGGCTAATCATATCCTATGTGACTACTATGCGGCTACCGGCTACTGTAGAAATCAGCGACAGCCAAATTGTTTCAAGCACTCGGTATTAAACCCGTCTCTCACTCAACTCTACTACGGCTGTCGGGATAAAATTATAGACAATTTTTCCCCCTCGGCCGGTAAAGCAATATCTTTAAGTCTACTTCTGTCATTACAAAATAGCAATTTTTCAGTTAAGTCATTAGACTATAGACCCTTGCTTTGTGAGACAACGTCGGCGTTCTCAAAAAGTAACTCCCCTCAGCAGATAAGGCCAAGCTTCCAAATCTAATTCTGTAATCTCGGTAACCAAGGCAGACCTTTCCTCGACAGATTAGCCTACAAACCTGATTTTGCTGTCAAGGTTCTAAAGAGAGAGCTTTCCTCGGCAGGTGAACATAAAACGTGCAATTTTATCAATAAAAGGCTTATCACAAAAACCGGATTGATCTGTAGGTCTCGCCCGTTTATAGGACAACGTCATTGTTCTCAAGAGAGAAATTTATTTCTTGTTTTGTTGAGCGGCTGGCACATTTTTGAGCTAAACTAACTAAAAATAGATACAAGATAGATTTCTTAGCATCGCGAAATAGTTAAGACATCCAATCTATCCTCAGTTGCCTTATCTTATAAGAGGATAAGTATGATAATACTTTCCATCCACACTGTCCTTATGCAGTTCACCAGCCACAGAGCAAGGTTTCCTTATTTTCCATACCTCCTAGCGCTGCCTGGTAGTGTCTTTTGCACACCTTGTTTCTCTCATGAAATGCGAAAAACGGCTATGAAACGTACTATGTAAGGCCCGAAATGAAGGCGCCGTTTATCTTCTCATTGAGATTTGTTACAGGACAATTCTGGCTAAGATAGTTGAAAGTCTTCTGTAAGACAGTAGGCAAGTACATTTTACGAACATTATGTTTTACGAGGGATTCTCGATCGGAAAAAAGTTGGAGAATGGCTTGTAAACGATAAAACAAAAAAGTTGTATAGAAAGAGGCTTGTAGTAACTTGTCAGCACAAGAAAAAGTTTTCATTGTGTTGGAAATTTGTCTTGAAACACAATATTTTATAATATATAATATTCGCATGCGAATGCTTTTTCGATCCGTTTACGACTGTTCGTAGGTGCTCCACAATTTTAAGATAAAAAGTACCTACTCGAAAACGAATCGTAAACGGCTATCATAAACGACATTTTATACTGTTTTTCTTCGATAAAATATCCATTTACGAACTCGTTTACGATGATTTTGTTGGCTGGTGAAATATTTTTTACATTCAGGGCTATCACGGAATCCATCGTAGAAAATCTACGAATTCAAATACCTGCTACGAATACGAAAAAATTGCTATCACTGAATCCGAGTGAACTCGAAAATATCGTTGCCAGCTTCGAATGCTGATTCGAAATCAGTTAGTGCAAAGGAAACAACAGACATTTATGTATGTCATTTTGCTCGCGCTGCCCAATCAGGCGCAATGGCCGAGTGTGCAAAGCACTGGACTGCCAATTGAGAGACCCGAGTTCGAGTCCGAGTCGTGGGGCGGTGGAGGTTTTTTTCTTTTTTTATTTATTTTTGTTTATTTTTTTAATAAATATTTTTTTTAGTTTATTTTTAGCTTAGATTTTATTATTTTAAATAGAAAAAACTTTTTTTAAATAAATTTTTATGATATTAAAGTAATTAAGTTTATTTCCTAATAAATTGTTGCTAAACTATTATTTCCTCGATTCATACAAAATATTAATTCATTAAATAGCGTCTAGCAGATGAATGCGTGTATGTACATATGTAAGTATGTATAGCATTGGTATTTTACGTCTACGTTTACACAAATATATGGAATTATATCAAACTATAACAAATTTGGAGTATAATAAACATTTAATATTAAAAATAATGCAGCTTTCTTCCACTATTTTTAAGATTGAGTGATTTTAAATTTTGTTCCGACAGCATAATCTCGTCGTAGAGTATCTGTACAAATCTTCATTACGAACGGATTCAATGAAGGCTCTCTACGAATTTCTAATTTACGTTCGTAGCCATTCGGATTCTGTGATAGCACATTCGTAGATTTCACGAAAATCGAAGCTACGATGGATTCTACGCATTTTCTTTCATAAGAAAAAAGTGCAAAAAGCCGTCAGCATAAGAAATATTAAAAATCAACGCAATTTTCCAGTAGCTTAAAACTTGCACTTTATTAAACTATATACATACTCAAAAAAATACAAAAAAAAACCTTAGAAAATTGGTAAATTTGTAATATATTCACATCAAAATTCTCTATGAAAAGAAATATGTATGTATTTTTTTAATATTTTTTCTTGAAAAATTTTTCACATACACATTTTTTGATTAAAAAAAGTTTCTGAAAATATGCCATCTCAACAAAAAAAAAATTTGAAAAAAATCACAATGGTAGCTCTGAGTATTGCGCAATATTTAAGTATAGTATTACGGGGTGCACTCATCGAAGTTAACTCAAATTATTGTAGAGTGCACCCCGTAATACTATACTTAAATATTGCGCAATACTCAGAGCTACCATTGTGATCTTTTTCAATTTTTTTTTGTTGAGATGGCATATTTTCAAAAACTTTTTTTTTTATCAAAAAATACGTATGTGAAAAATTTTTCAAGAAAAAAAATTAAAAAATACATACATATTTCTATTCATAGAGAATTTTGATGTGAGTGTGATTTTTTCAAATTTTTTTTTCGCCCCGTTCTCCAGATATTTGGAAAACTATTAAATCGATTTGTTTTTGTTTTTGTGCTGTAAAGTTTTTGAAAATGTATTAATCAAACTCAAATTTCATATTTATTTATTATTTATGTTTATCCATCAACCCTAAAAATTTGAAACAAATCAAGCACATGAAGTGTGAAACCCCGTCCATTTTGGTAATGGAACGCCCCATATACATATCGCACGTTTAATAATATACAGAAGTATTTCAAAATTTAAATTTGGTGGGAAAACGCAATCAAAGTTTGATCAACTCATACAGTTGGTATACAAAAAGACAGTTGAAAATACCCATATCTTTGCGATGTTTGGGAAGTTTAGCCATCTGTTAGCCTGAACATGTTCTACTTATCAAGCTTATTAATTGTATGATAAGATCTCCAAAAATGTAAATTTTGAGTTATGTCTCTACATTATTAAACGTGCGATATATGTATATTTTTTTAATTTCAATTAATTTTTAGAGACGTTTTTTGGATATTTATTTTTTTAGTTTGATCTTATTATTTTATCGTTTTAAAAAGGAACATTTTTCTTTTTAATCTAATTTTTAGAAACTTATTTTCGGGCAGGTTCTACAATTTACTTCCGAGTGAATTTCAATAAAATTTTCTTTGAATTCAAATTGGTAGGGGTTTAAATTCACTTGGAAGTGAATCGCAGAACCTGCCTGTTTATCATCTTTTTCTAATTTAAGTTTTTTCTCTTTTAATTGTTTTAAGAGAAAATGTGTTTTTAAATATAATTTCATTTTTAGGAACTTGTGCTATTTATATATTTTGTTTCTTTTAGCTTGTAGATATTATTTTCAAAATATTTTTTTTTTTTAATTTCATTCATTAAGAACTTATTTTTTAAACTTTTTAATACATGTTGTGTTCTAAAAATAAAAATATCAATATTTTAATTTCATTTAATTTTTAAAATTGCCGTTGCCAAGAGCGAACAGTCATCGACGTAACACTAAAATTACAAGCATGAGTATGGTCCTGTAGGGGTTAAAAAACGTATGTAAAAGTTTAAATTTGTGAAACGACCGATGTGACTTCAGCTGCATAACTGAAGTTTATTTTTTAAATGAACACATGCATATAACAGTTTTTTTTTCAGTTAAGTTTTATTCAAATTTGTATACATAGTTATAATAAGAAAACAACTAATAACAGTAAAAAAAATTTAAACAGTTTCAAACAAAAACGGATCGATATAAAGACAAGAAAAGTGTTCAGTGCATATAAAGAATCGATTATAAGGAAATACTGAAAGTAATTTCATATTTCGTACAATAAATTTTACAATTTGCAAAGTCGATACGAAAATTGAGATTTGATCATATTTTTAGGTTTGTTAATACATCAGCTCAGAATGTTTACTAACATCAGGTGACAAAAGTAATCTACTAATTTTACTACTTTTTATAATCAAAACCCTTTTACTAAATATGTAACTAGAACGCATGTATAAGTATTTGGTATAAATGTGTGTATATGTATAAGAATTTTATATGTACATATATTTGGATTAGGGCTGTGCGATTATTCGATTACTCGAGCAAGTTGGTTAATCAGTTATTCGGTTAATCAATTACTCGAGTAATCAAGATTTTGATTACTCAAAACGATGTTTAATCGAGTTACTTGAAATATGATTACTCAAAAAAAATTAATTTTGCTCGTTAAAAGAGGTTGCTTTGGAAAATGCTTATTTTCTTTTTTATATTCTGTATATGAAAAAAATATGTATGTATGTATGTATTTCATTTTAATTTTTGAAAACAGATACGATTTTTCAAAGTATCAAGGAACTTCAACTGCTTTATATGTATGTATGTAAAGAGTACTTTGAAATGTTGATTACTCATTTTATTCATAATGTTGATTAATCATAAAGCAAATTACTCAAATATTTTTGTTTTTGGTTAATCAAAATCTTGATTACTCGAGTAACTGAACTTTTGAGTAATCATAATTTCCGATTAATCGAATAATTGAGTTATTTACTTTATGATTAATTAAAATTTTGAATAATCAATTAATCGCACAGCCCTAATTTGGATTATAATATTTTTGTAGAATACATATACATTTTTTTTCATATTATAGTGTTTATTTGTGTATACATATGTAGAATTTTTGTTACACCAAAGTCAAGCGGAATGAATAAAGCACATACATAAATAGCCCAAAGCAACAATGTCAGCCAGCAAACCACAAAATACACACTTTTTATCTATGCTTTGCAAATTGTGACTTTAATTTTGTGTGGTCTTTGTAGAGTAGACGTTTGGTAATTTTTGTGAGCAAGTTTATAGTTAAATTTATTGCTGCTTCTTGTTCGCGCTATTATAATTGCGTGGTAGAGCCTGAAAATAATGTGTATATTAAGAAAATTATAAATTAATAGCTAAAAACTAACATTGCAACACTTACATCATACGCTGGTGGCAAGTCACTGGGGGCAGCGTTGTTAGAATATTGGTTGTAGGTTGTATTTTGGGCGCTAGCCATTGCCTCGGCTTCTTTCGAATCTGCAAATATGTATGCAAATATTTTGGTATATTGGTTTTACACAATGTGAAACTTAAAAAAGAACAATTAGCGCAATTTATTAAACGCAATAAATCAAAGGTATTTAAATGCAGAAAATGCTTACACTTATAAAGATGTGCATAGATTTTTGTAGTAAAGAAATTTTCTTGCTTGCGGCTAAGATATGCAATTATTCAATAAACATTTATGGAAAAATAATTGGTATTGGTATAAAAGCAAAATTAACACAAGGTGTTGGGGTATAGTACGGGTAGTAATAATACGTAGTATTACCTGCAGAATGATAAAGAAAAAAAAAACAAGTTTTGTAAAATACACACATACTCAAAAAACAATGGAATTCGCAAGCGTGTAAGAAGGGCGTTGGTAATTTCTCGGCTTAAGTATGTATTTTCTTGTCTTTTGCGCAAACTTTTAAAGCCCAATATAAGGAACATCAAAAACACAATAATTCTGGAGAGATAATACCTGCCTTAGAGGTTGGAATTTGGATCGAATTCTTATTTGTGTTGGTCACTTATATGCTGTATTGGCTGTTGGTTATCTTTGAGATACGATTTTCAAAACACTGCAGGCGAAATTGTTTAAAGTAAAGAAATAATAAATATTTTGAAAGTCGAAATAGTTGAACAGGGGTTAATAGAGGGTTTAAGTCAAACAAATGTGTGTGTAATGTGCAGGTGTTATAAAAAATGGAATTTCAGATACTAAAGTTATTTGGTTAACGGTTTTTTTAAGGTGTTAAGGTTCCAAATATACAAAATAATAATCTTATATTTGAAATTTCAGTACATAAAATTGTGTAATAAATGGTGCTATGAAAATTTTACACAAATGTATTCAACTTACTTGCTGGCGGCATGCCGAAGCCCATAGCCCCGGCCGCAGCTCCGCCTGGTGCACCGCCTGGTGCACCGCCTGGTGGTGGATAACCACCATGTTGATAGCCTGGATTGTATGCCGGATTATATGCCGGGTTGTAGCCACCGGGTGCACCGGGTTGATAACCGCCTTGTTGGCCATAGCCCGTACCACCATAAGGGGGTGGCTGGTTGTCAGGTTGTGGCTGTTGTTGTGACTGATCAGTAGGTGGAGCTGAAAAACCCATCCAAGAGGTATCATCATTATTGCCATATTGTGGTTGTGGATTGCCGGCACCTTGCGGTGGTTGTGGATTATAACCAGTTTGTGGTTGTTGTGGATTGTAACCGGCATGTGGTTGCTGTGGATTATAACCAGCTTGTGGTTGTTGTGGATTATAACCAGCTTGTGGTTGTTGTGGATTATAACCAGATTGTGGATGCTGTGGATTATAACCAGCTTGTGGTTGTGTGTAACCTGCTTGTGGGTTATAGCCGGGTTGGGGATACTGTTGCGGGGTGTAAGCTGGTGCTAAGTGTGCAAATACACACGGGATAAATGGAAAACATAAGAGGCAAATAAACGAAAAAATGTAATTAAAGTGCTTTGACTTAACATGACAACATGATATGTCCTTAAAATTGTAGCCCTTAGAACACAGTATATATGAATATATACAACGTCTGGCATAAATAAAAGCTTCTTGAACACGAAATCAACAAAAGCCGAGAAATTTTAAACGAGCTCCATATAGCAAATTATATCCCATATATAGACATGATTGTATGTAAATACTTACGTCCACCAATGCCTGGATATGGTGGTGGATTATCGCTTACGAACACCGTATTCGGTGCTGGGCCACTAAATGCCTCATGTGTAGGCAACCATCCGTAGTAGCCTGGTGGGGGTTGATAGGCCGGAGGTGGCGCCTCATGCCAGGCACCCGACGGTGTGTATGGTGGTGGATCATCATTGTAAGCGCCTCCACGATGGTAATTGCTTTGTGCTGTGCTTGCAGCGCGCAGCAATGCTTGGCCATACTCAATGGCGCCACCAGATTTGAAGTGTAGCTTAAACTTGACTTCGCCAATGAAATTGCCATTTGGCTGGGCGCGTACCTTACCCTTGATGTAATTGGCGCCGAATACTGGTTGCTCCAATTCAACCTAAGGAAAATAAGTATTATTAATTATACAATAGTTCTGAAATTATTTATACAAAGTAATTTGTAAATAATTTACATCTGATAAGGCGATGAATGGTGCGCTAAAGGATTGCAAGTCATCTGCCGGCTTCTTATTGTTGAAAATGAGCCGATGAGAAGTCAAGTAAATACGACCCTGTTTTGAGCCTTTAAAAACTGGGTTGTCCTGGCCCGAGAAATCCATAGTAACCCCATCGCTGTGCAGCAATATGCTGTGGGCAAAGATAAGAAAAAATATTAAAGACTTGCAGATTTTAGTTATAAGCAAACAAACCAGATAGCTAATCAATTGAACACGTCATAACTAATCCATAGGTTTTTAGGCGTTATTAATACGCTCATAAAGTCCTTTTAAAGTAAGCTGTCTCAAAATCAATTTTTGTTTAGCCTAAAGCTCTATTCTCTTTAATTAATGACCTCATTCCTTAGCATATATAATTCTATTCATGTGGCAGTTTAGCCAAAACAAATAGCTCACCCCCTGATTAGAAGATAAATCTAATTATCCGGATTAATATTGTACTTACTACTCTCCTGCATGAATCAGAACGCCATTACTGGCGTGTGCTGTATTTACAGACATTTTTAAATGTTAATACACTTAATTTTTGCTTTTTTGCTTTTATTTAATAAATTTTCGCAGCCTCTTACAAACGCAATCCAGAAACTTTCTCGAACGTCAAAAACCAAAATTGCAGATGATTCACCCTTTTTGTTTGTTGTATATTTTGTTTTTGTATTGACAATTTTTATTTTTGTATTGCAATGGTTAACCAGAAGATGGCGCGCAGAATTAAACAGCTGTTTTCTTAAGGGCCGGTTACATACGACTTTCCTGGCCAGGCTTGACAGTTTGAACTTTGACAACAGAGCGTGAATCAAGTAAGTATGCTACCAGAAACAGCTTCTCCGTTCTCCTTCTTCTCCATATTTGATCTGTGTTAAATAGATAACAATATAATAATATTTATTAATCTTATAGACTAATCTACCGACAGGCGATCTGAATGGACGAGATCCATTGACGCGCTATTTTATCGGAAGGAGAGGACCAGTTTCCATGCCGACCTTTCCATTTCATACATTATGGGCGTTTTGAATGGACGAGATCCAGAGTCACCCTGCTAGTCCGTATGGGAAGGTCTAGTTTCCATGCCGACCTTTCCATTTCATACATTATGGGCGTTTTGAATGGACGAGATCCAGAGTCACCCTGCTAGTACGGATGGGAAGGTCTAGTTACCATGCAGGACCTTTCTATCTAAAGCTTGCTATACAATTCACATCTGTCAAAACTTGTCGTTCATATGCGAATGCTTTGCGTACGCACACAGTTGAGTGTGAGCTTGCAATGAGGCATATTATGCATTTTAATTAGTTTAATTCTGAAAGATATTTTAGTTCCCTATCTTTTGATGTATCATCTATTGCAAAAAGTTAAGTAATAACGAAGATATTAGTCAAAATAAAAAGCTCGCATTGAACTGTATAGCAGGCTTAATAGCCAATGTTCTGCAATAATCAAGTAGTAGCCTTTTCAAGGTACCAATGTTTTCACAATTTTTTATTTGAGCCGGAAGCTCATTGTAACATTTTAGTCCACTCTAACAGATATTGGCCCGTAGTCATAGTCAAAATAAAGTCGACTTTAAAGTTAGTTGCAGCTTTTTGACATAATTTTCAATGGGATATCTGTCAAAAAAGCTGCAACTAACTTTAAAGTCGACTTTATTTTGACTATGACTACGGGCCATTCTTCTTATCTATTTCCGTTTTATACCGCGGCAGCCTGAAGCTATTATTTGCCCTGAGTAAATATGAATGGGTTTCACTACTATATCGTAGGACATCACTCAGATAATCTGGAAGTCTATCTTGTTTTATGTTAAACACTAATTTCACAGCGTGTTAAAAAATTTGCTGTTTCACGCTCATACAGTTTAATTCTGCGATTATTTTCTGTATGGGTGTGTCATACCGCTTGTTTAAGATAATTCGTACAGCCTTATTTTGCATTTTTTGAAGCTTATCGATTTTTGTGTCGCTTGCTATAAAAAATATTGTTAGGCAGTATACGAAATGTAGTTCAACGATGGATCTGTAGACCAGGATCTTAATGCATAAACAGACGGCAGCGTTGATCCGAATCAACTCGGGAATTAACTGCAGTTGATTCGGATTAAGTCCGAGTTAATCCGGATCAACGCTGCCGTCTGTTTAAGCTTTTATACCTCCTCCCTAAGTACTTACATGACCTTTTCATGAAACCAATTTTTTCGCATATATGTAATACTTCTATATTGGCAGTAAGCTAACTTCTCAATGTGTAAGCATTCCGAAATCAAAGCGAGACAGTCTAGTACCGTTTTTGTCAATGCATTGTGTACTTGAGTGCCGTTTTTGTATATGTGTGGTGTACATGTTTATTTATAAACGTATGTGTTCCTTTTCTTTCGTACGTGTTTATTGATATATCTGTACTGTAGTGTTTTCGGACGGTACTAGCTCTTACTGCCAATATAGGAGTATTACATATATGTTTTTTCGTAATTTTTGCTACTGTATAGTCAATATGTTCCTCAAATATTAACTTTTAATCGATATATATACCTAAATATTTAATGATTCTTATTTTCTCAATTACTTCATCTTTAATTTTTAAGCTGTAGTTATCGGAGCTAACGGAAAGGATCGTTTTCACTTGGCTGTTGGCTGACCGTGCGTGGTGATATTTGACCACAAACGCAAATGACACCGGATGACAACCCGTTTTGATTATTTGGGAGCAATTGACGTCAAATATGACCTAATGAAAACCAGGCTTTAGCTGCTCTAGATATGACCATAAACTTTGTCTTGTTCACATTTAATTGGAAAAGATACATGTAAATAGCTGATTGCCAAAGCGCGCAAAAGTTGAGAGTCGCCCATGATTTTGCTTCATTCCTATGGTACGGACGTTTTTAATATTTATTTATTAATTTTTTTTTATTTAAAAATTCTATTAATATCTATTTGTAATTTCGTAAAGCGTCCTGTGACACATAACTTTTGTATGACAACGCTGTAGAGAAATTCTGCCATATTTTCATGTATAGGTTATAGGGGACATCCATTACTTTTTGTACTCCCCAACATTACGTTTTCCCACTGGAATTTGTATAAAGCGTACCGCGATTAGAAAAAACCGATTTTGACAGAGCGATAGGGAAGTTCGCCGTAGGTAGATAATTGAGATATTGACTGCAATTTTTTCGATAATTTGGTAAAAATTTAGTAAGTGGTGTAGTCATGTTAAACTAATCCATATCTTAAAAATGGCGTTCTCAATTTTTGGATATCTCCTTTGCAGTACACAATCTCATATCTGTAATAAGAGAATTTTGAGTAATTTGTTCGGATTTTGAAGATCTTTCATTTGTTTTTGAGGAATCTGGTAATAATTTTGTGGCAACACTTCTGAGCCGTTATCGATAATGGGCACGGTGCAGCGAACAAAGGTGGCGCCGTCAGTGGTACCGCTACTTTGGTTTTGCCGATTTTGACAGTTGTGGTAACTTGTAAATAAACTTTACATGTGGTACACAAATGTCAACGCCCAGTACGGCGCAATCTTGTATTCTATCATTCTTGGTTTGCACTTGTTTCTAAACAAAAAGTTTGTTTACGTATTGCCATAAACGTCAAAGTCGGCGAAACCAAAGTAGCGGTTTCGGGAATGCGCCACCTTCAGTTCATTACACCATGAACCAAAAATACAAGATCACGCCTTCTTCTTAGTAGCCCGTTATAATCGCATTTAGGAAAAAAGTTGGGCGACTTTGACATTAGCCGTTTGTTTACATTCGTTCGTTGTTTACAATTTGGTGGTGGCTTTTTACTGCAATTTTCTTAATTTTCGCTTGTGACAACGTGTGCACTCATAAGGTGAAGAATACTTTAACACAGGGACATGATTTATAGAAGAATTTGTATAATAAAAATGATTATTCATGCGTTCAACAATTACGCGGTTTTTTTTGTTCTCTTCGTTGTTTACTTCTTACAACAAAGATGGCGTCGAGATTTCAACAGCTAGAAAATAACTTTTTTCTTTCTTTCGGGAAGGCGTGTCTTGTGTCTTTCGTTCATGCATTACAAATTGAATCATTCGATAGTTTCAATAGTGTCATATCAAATATTCGATATGTCGATAACGCCATGAATGGTTTTGCTGGTCTAGAAAAGTGAAGTGCGTGTAATTCCTGCAATTAAATTCTAATTTACCAGAGAAAAAATTGATTTCAAATGCTTAAAAAGCCTTCGATGCAGCAAATTACTAAGCATCTACAAATTTAATGGAGTCTAACTACGGGAACTTGCAGAACATGCGTAAGTTATTTCGTAACCGGCTAAATTCGCTTTTCCAATGCGCATAGTACCTAGTCCTCCTACTTTCATCCATTTTATAAGCCTTTATTGAGGAATAAAAACGATTAATTACAACTTCCGCATTAATTTATGTGCTTTTTTCAAGTGAAAATTTATTTGTGTATGTGTATTGCAATTCATAGAATTTATTTCCTCCGCTTTGTATCATGTTTTATTCTTCCCTGTTCTTTCTGTTACTTCCGTTCAATTTGTTTCGATTTTCCAGCAATTCCATTTCGGATTTCTTTTGCCCATCTGCTGTTAACGCTCCCTATATTTTGATAACTTTCGTAAACATTTATTTGTTTTCTCTTGCAGTACCCCTACTTGGTTCCATTGCCGGCAATGGCAATAGCGTTAATAACAATCAAAATTTCATCAATCAACTTGCTGCAGCAATATCTACAGCGGTTGGCGCCGTAAATGCCGCGACAACCACACCCGCTACAACGGCTGGCGGTGCTAACACAGCCAGCAATTCAAATGACCGTCAGCGCACTCCCGAGCCGCCACCAGCTCCACGATTCCGTTTGAAATCACCGACAAGAATAAAACCGAATCGGGGTACAGCGCCAATGGATATTGAAAATGAATCGGAGACTGAGCACGTCAGCACTGTTACTAAACAAAATGCTAATACTTCTATGCCCCCGGTGACTGATGTAAATATGACTGCAGATAAATTGGCAATGGGAATGCCTAATATGTTTATGAATGGATTTATGCCCCCAAATATGGCACACGGTAGCGGCATCAATGCCACACCCTACATGTTTTATCAAACTTCCGCGCCAACTAATGCGGCTTCCACTTCAGCAGCAGCTGCACTAGCCGCCAATCAAATGTTCATGGATCCGACGACTATGCTAGCAGCAATGCAGCAAATGCAACAAACTTATAATGCAAACTTTGGCGCAGCGTTACCAAATGCCGAAGGCGGTGTAAATGGGCAGTTACCAGCAGTTGGCGCCACAGGTGCTGGTAAGGCTTACCTGCTTATTCTTTTTCTTGTATGGGTTTTTATACCATTTAAATTTAACGTATTATTTTACCGATTTAGTTTGTGGCATGAAAGAAGTGATTAAAACTAAAAACTGCATACTCTTTCCACCCAACCCGAGTGCACCGCCTCCAACCACACGAGAGCGGCCGCCAGGTTGCCGTACAGTCTTTGTAGGCGGCCTACCGGAAAACTCCACTGAGGAGCTCATACGCGAAATATTCGAATCTTGTGGTGAAATAACCACACTGCGTGCATCCAAGAAAAACTTCTGTCACATACGTTATCGCCACGAGGCATCTGTTGATCGTGCCATCTACCTTTCTGGCTACCGCGTACGCATTTCTAACACAAGTGAACCCGCAAACTTTGGCCGCCTCCATGTTGATTATGCACAAGCGCGCGATGATCTGTATGATTTCGAATGTAAACAACGGCAATTGCAGCGTGAGCAA